GCCGAGCCGCACTCCTCGCACGCCCGCATGCTCTTCCACTCGCTGCTGGCGCTGCTGGGCGAGCGGCTGGGCAGCCCCGCGCTGGGCGGCGACGACTTCATGCTGCAGCACAACCTGCGCAAGGCCCGGCGCGACCTGCAGGTGCACAGCGGGCACGGGGGCACTGCGGGCTGCAGGGACGGGGGGCACCCCAGGGTTCAGGGATGGAGGCTCTTCACGCCCCCCAGAGTACAGGGATGGGGGGCGCTCCGTGCCACAAGGGTGCAGGGACTGGGGCACTTTGTGCTCCCCGGTTGCAGGGACTGGGGGGTACTCCAGGGTGCAGGGACTTGGGGGTGCTTTGCGCCCCCAGGGTGCAGGGACGGGGGGGTACTCCAGGGTGCAGGGACGAGGGGCACCCCAGGGTGCAGGGACGGGGGCGCTTCGCACCCCCAGATTGCAGGGACAGGGGGCGTTCCATGCCCCCAGGGTGCAGGGACAGGGGCGCTTTGCACCGCTGGAGTGCGGGGACTGGGGGTGCTCCATGCCCCCAGGGTGCAGGGACAGGGGGGTGCTCCAGGGTGCAGGGACGAGGGGCGCCCCAGGGTGCAGGGACGGGGGTGCTCCGTGCCCCGCTGACCCCCCGCTCTGCTCCAGGCCGCCTTCGAGGAGAGCCCGGAGACGCTGGCCAACGCGGTGGCCAACCTGCTGCAGGAGGAGCAGCGCATCCTGCGCCAGGCGCACGCGGCGGCGCAGGTAGGAGGGTCCCGGCGGGCGCCCCGCTCCGCCGTCCCGCCTGCACCCTGAGGATCCCCCTGTGTGGGCAGAGGGAGCCGGCGGCAGCGCCCAGCACCCCTCCGCAGAGCGACCGGCACCAGGAGATCCAGCGGCGCCTGGCCGAGTTCCAGGCGGCCCTGCAGGTACCGGCCCAGCTGCGGCGGCACGGCCGGGCGGCGCGGCGCGGGGACATGGCGCGGTGCGGGGACATAGCCCGGTGCAGCATGGCACAGTGCAGGCACACAGCGTGGTGCAGCCTGGCGCGGTGCAGCATGGCGTGGTGCAGGCATGCAGCACAGTGCAGCCCGGCGCGGTGCAGCCTGGCCCAGCACGGTGCAGCCTGTCATGGCGCAGCCTGGCACGGCACGGTGCAGCTTGGCACGGTGCAGCCCAGCACAGTGCAACCCAGCACAGTGCAGCCCGGCCCGGCACGGTGCAGCCCGGCACAGCGCAGTGCAGCCCGGCGTGGTGCAGGCATGCAGCGCGGTGCAGCCCGGCGCGGTGCAGCCCGACACGGAGCAGCCCGGCACAGCGCAGTGCAGCCCAGCGCGGTGCAGGCATGCAGCACGGTGCAGCCCAGCACAGTGCAACCCAGCACAGTGCAGCCCGGCGCGGTGCAGGCATGCGGCACGGTGCAGCCTGGCACGGTGCAGCCCGGCACAGCGCGGTGCAGCCCGGCGTGGTGCAGGCATGCGGCACGGTGCAGCCCGGCACGGTGCAGCCCGGCACAGTGCAGCCCGGCACAGTGCAGGCATGCAGCACGGTGCAGCCCAGCACAGTGCAACCCAGCACAGTGCAGCCCGGCACAGTGCAGGCATGCAGCACGGTGCAGCCCAGCACAGTGCAACCCAGCACAGTGCAGCCCGGCGCGGTGCAGGCATGCAGCACGGTGCAGCCTGGCACGGCGCAGCCCGGCACAGCGCCCGCACGCGGCGCGTTCCGCCACGGCGCCCACCCTCCCCTCTGCCCCAGGACGCCGACCGCACCTTCCGCCACCTGGAAGACGCGCAGGAGATGTTTGACTTCTGCTACAAGGTGCACTACCACCCGGGTAAGGCCGCGCTGCCGCCCCGCCGTGTCCTGCCCGGCGCGGGCCAGGGGCGACGCAGGGACCCCCTCCCGCCGTCCCGCAGGCGAGGCCCGGCCCAACGACCCCGAGTACGTGAAGCAGCTGCAGAGCCTGCAGGCCAAGCTGCAGAAGCTGGACCGCAGCCGCAAGGTGAGCGGGGCGGGGGGCCGGGCGGGGGGCCGGGCTCCCCTGAGCCCCCCGCTCAGCCCTGTCCCCCCCCCAGGACATGCTGGCGCAGATGCAGCAGCTGCTGGGGCGCAGCGAGACCCTGCGGGACTTCGTGCAGCAGGAGCTGGGCGGCTGGCGCGAGCGGCAGCGCGGCGCCTGCCTGGGGGCGCCCGTCGACACCGGCCTGCAGCAGCTGCAGGGCTGGTAGGGCCGGGCCGGGCCGCGG